TGTTCTACCATTTTCAGATATCTGCAATAAAACAAAGTAAAAGAAGAAAAGAAGAGGATTGATTTCCACTTCTACATCCCATATTTTACTCTCAATTTTGTCTCAATTTTGCCCCATTCTCCTAGTACGGGCCCACCCGGGCCAACTGGACGGTACTTTTAATTTAACTGAGCTGTTTTTTTTTTGTTATTTCTCTTTGGTTGTTGGATTTTTTACGTGCCAAATATCAACCTATTAAAAATATTTATTAAAAGACTTCAATGTATATTTTAAAAATGATCACAATATATTAAAAAATTGTTCATTATCCATTACAAAGAGGTTCATCATGTTTTTCGCAAAAAAAGAGGTTCATTGTGTTTGAATGTATAAAAAACTAGATTTGTGAAAAATAAAAACAAAAACAAAAACAAAGGAACAAAAAAAAATAGAAAACCAACAAAAACCAGAATAAAATTAAAGAGAGAAGAAAACCGTTTGAAAATACCAGCACATATGCCCGTGTGTTGCAACGGGAAAGAAATTTACGGTTATGTGCAATCACAATGGTTCATCGTGAATACACTATGAAGAAACGCTAGTTGTCCCACCTACGTATTGAAAGAAACGCTGATTGCCCCATTCACCTAAACATCCAACGGTGCTATCGATGGCAGGGAGGCGCACATTGAGGTCTAGAAGAAATACATAACAGCTGCACAATCACAAAAGGAGCCATAGCGTAGTTGGGAGTTTTTTTTTTGGCGGGGGCGTACTTGAGAGTTACACATAAGGTCATCGGTGCCTATTACACGCCAAACCACGGGCAGTCATCTGGACATCGCCGGCTAGCCATGCCTCGCTTGATGCGACGCGGTCTTTTGACCCGTACAACATGAAATATCCATGCATCCATTTCTTGGTATAATTTGAATTTTCATCCACACACAGGCCCAGCGAAACAACTGGAGGAACCCGTGAGGCGAAGGCCCAACCCAGCAACGTGGAAACTCAATCTTGTGTGGGCTTCGACTTTGCCTGGGCTCTTTAACCAGCATCACAGATAACAAAATCTATAAAAAGAAACATAACTTTACTTTAAAATGCATCATGTTGTCTGCTTGGGTGGCAACCCCTAGGTTGTCTCTCGTGTAGGTCGTGTGTTCAACTTCTTGCTGTGGCGATTATTATTTAGTCTTCAGCAGACTCCCGATTTCATTCGTACGTCCGTTTCCTTTATTTGCACAAATATATGTTCCTCCAACGGACGGACAAAACTAAAAAATAGCGTACGTGAAAATTACAAAACAAAGTGGAGCCAATCCAAGAATACTTATTCCCTTTAATAGTAGGTATATATATATAGGGTCGCGCTATTCGTCACCCTGGGTGAGGAATAGTTATTCTTCACCCCCTCTATTTTATCATCAATGCACCGTACTTTTACGTTTCGTAAGTTTTGTCTTATTTCCGACGTAAAAACAAACTGCAAGAAAATATATAATCGCCGTAAAAAATATTTTATATTATGTAAAATTACAAACGTAAAAACATAGTCTAAAATACACATAAACTGCAAATTTTCTTATCTTATGACCTATATTTTTATTTTCTTATATCAAATTTTACGTAGTGAATCAATAGAAATGTAACTATTTGAATTCCAAACAGAATTTAATTATGAAATGATTGTAAGATTACCTCGGGTGAAGAATAACGTATTCTGCACCCTGGGTGATGAAAAGTAACACTATATATACTCACCATTAAAGCCTGCATGGGACAGTTAAAGAATTAAAGCCTGCCAAATTAACTAGTAATTAAATCATTTACACTGGTTTCCAAATCTATTGCTAAACACGATTTAATGATAGATAGGCAAGGTGCCCAGGCATCTACGTGTCCCAAACTGGCGGGTATATGGATACCCGCGTATGTACATAATTTCGTTAGGGGTATATGCATACCCGTATATGTACATAATTTCTTTGGTAGGTATACGCATACCCGCGTATGTATATAATTTCTTTTTTGCAGGGTATGTATATAATTTTGTTCGTAGGTATATGTATACCCACGTATTTACATAATTTCGTTAGTAGGTATATACATATCCGCTACGTATATAATTTCTTTAATACCTAAAAACCCAGAATAAATCATTGGATATATACGTACCCGTGTATATACATAATTTCATTAGTAAGTATATATACCATGGGTATATTTATATTATTTGGAGTCGGCGCACAATTTATTGATATAGATAATAAAAATATTTTGTCATGAATATCTCAGAATGATATCAACTTTTATGTATACATTTATTCATCTGTGCATAGAAAAAATCCACAGGCCGACGAGTCACATTGTGCGTACATACTATATCTGTTTCCTTTTTATTCTGTCATTCTCTCTCCATCAATTAATGTGTGTTTTAATTCTATTCAAATCAATAAATACAAATGAGTGGACATGCGAGCTATTAAATACTAGGTTCCTGGGCACCTAGGTGCCCCAAACAATTTACCTATATATATCTATGGGACATCACTATGGGACATCACTATTTAATCCCAGGATTAGAATAGTTATTTGGATCACAATCACCATATATAAGGGTTGCCGGGGGACTAATCCACGAGCATCTATGGGACCGGCGGACCGAGTCCCTTTCGGTTCGGCGGGGGCGAGGGTCGCACGAAGAGCGGATCGAGGCGAAGCACACGAGCAGTTTACCCAGGTTCGGGCCGCACGGATGCGTAAAACCCTACTCCTGCTTTGTGGTTTGTATTGAGTTCTTACTCGGGAGCGCGGAGTGCTACAGTACACCCCAGCAGCTAACGAGA